CAGGTGGTAAAGCTCATGCTTGTGTGCCCGAGGAGCGCTGGGGTGTGGCGGTGACGGTGAGTGTGGCGTGGGCTCTCTGAGCCAGAGTTCTGGGCTGCAGAAACGGAACAAGAGTTGACCGTAAGCTTTCACAGGGCAGGCCTGATTCCGATGATGAAGACAGCAGCGATGGGAGTTCATGGTTAACTAGGTGACGTGAGGCACAGTGGCCACCCAGCTGAATGGAGTGATCTAGTATTAGAACTAGGTCCAGAAATACAGTGACGGTCTTGGCAGGGGTGCTATATATTGGACAGAATGTCTGCACTGCTATGCAGTGTGGCAGACAAAACCCTGCAGAGTGTTGTGACCTACGTAAAGGCTCGAATGCAAGTAGAAGTTCTGTAAGCACCAATAGCTGTATTAAAAATGTACTTATTATGATCCCTCCTTACTGTACTGAAAGCATTCATGGATCTGCTGTACTTAGCACAGATTTTTCATGGTGATCACAGGAATATAAAAGACTTATGGAAAAGCGATGGCTGAAAATATGGGATAAAAATTTATACCCTAAAAAAATTTATACCCTTATAGATGTGAAGACTTATGATTTCAATTTAGGTATTTATCCTGGTATTCAGCCATCAGCTCCCTATTCACACAGTAATAAATTGATGTTGTGAGCAGCCTTGTTGCTCCTGTCACCCAGACTGATCAGAATGTGACCCTGGCAAGTGGTTCAGCAGTTTCCAATTGATGTTACATTTGCTAGCAGAGCACAAATTGAACAGTGCAGGAACTATATGCAAGAACAAAGCAGGTATTCCAAGTGGAATGTTACAATTTCAAAACATGATTGTACAGTACAGTCTTTGAAATTCTAAAAGATGTAACATTGGCCTCGTATAGGGCAAAAACCCCACAAACTGATACTACTGATATCAGCATTGCGTCAGCATTGCGCCATGTTGGAAATACTGATAGGGAAACCTTGATGAAATCAAGCCTAAGGTGGTAGCTTTCAGCAACAAAACCAAAGGCGCAGTAGATGTTGATGAGTTAGTTAGGCAGCACCTATGGTGTCACTTGGAACCCAAAGCATTGGCCAATGGTTGTGTTTCACTCAGTTCTAAATATGTGTGGCGTAAGTACTTTGATAGTTTACAAAGAAAGGAGCAAGTGCAAAATATCCCAGAGAAATTTTTCTTTGAGAACTGGGACTGGAGCTTATGAGAGATCATTTACAGCAGAAGACAAACAAAATGTTTTGCCCGTGGAACTATGCAGAAAAAGGTGGTGCACTGTGGTGAGCTGACAGGTGAGCAGGCAGGGACAGCAGGAAAACAGTAAAGATGGCATCTGTGCCCTACAAGAAAGTACAGGAGAAACAAAAACACGCGTGCCATCAGCGTAAGCGATCCTTGTGTATGAAGCATGCAGTTGCCAGGTGATTGCCTTGCCTGTGACAGTGGAAGCAAAGCTTATTTCTCCGATGTTTTGTGTTTATATTGTAGTTCACATAGGTAGGTAGGTATGTATATCTGTATTATGTATTTTTTTGTCTTTTTGAGACAGTTTTGCTGTGCAGTTCAGGCTATCCTTGAACTCACAACAATCCTGCCTCATCCTCCTGATGCTAGAATTATAGGCACTGCACCCAGTTAGGTTTTTATTTTTATCATCTAGGTTTTGTAAGCAAGTAAGTGGCTGATGTGAAAATGTTGGTGTCTGTTCTAAGCACTCATCACATATCTGATGATGAAATAAACTGGAAGTTTATTTCCCTTCTAAGTGCATGTAGTACAGTATAGTAAGAGCTCCCAACAGAACAGAAAGAGGTAACAAGGGGCCGGGGAGATGGCTCAGTGGAATAAGTGCTTCCCTGGCAAGTGCAAGGGCCTGAGTTCAATCCCCGGTTCGGCCAAAAAAAAAAAAAAAAAAAAAAAAAAGTAACAAAACTGCCATATAGAAAAGGAAAGCTAAGCACACGTGCTGTCACCTGTACTTGGATGTGCAGTTGTCATGTGTGAAGACTGCCTTGAATGTGACAGTTGAAGCAAAGCATATTTTTGTGGTCGACTTTTGTGTTTACATTGTCATTCATGTAAGAATTTATTTCTGAAGTTTTAGGTTTTATAAAAGAATGTATAGAGCTGATGTAAAAATGTTGATGTCTAAACACAATACTTTTTAATAATTTATTGATATTTATATCTCTGTTAACTACACATTGTATACCATAATAAGAACCTCCTGACAAAATAGGAAGACCACTAAGATGTCAGCTGTGTCCCACAGAAAGGCCAGGAAGCTGGGGAGGTAGCTCGTGCTTGTCAGCGTAAGCACCTGCCCAGCGAGCCCTTGCAAGGTCCTGAGTTTGATCCTCAGTACCAAAAAAGAAAGAGAGCGAAGGACATGTTGTCGGAGTAAGTGGCGTGTGCACCAAGGTGTGGCCACACGGTTGTCGTCTGTGCGGCTGCCTTTGGTGTGATAATTGTAAAGTGCTTTTGGTATTTTCAGTGTAGTTCATGTGAGAATTTATATCTGATGTTCTTCATTAGACTGTTCACCAAAAACATGTCAGTGGTGAAAATTTTGATTTTTTTTTTGAAGTAAACAATAAATATTAAAAACTATAAAGTTAGTGTATTTTTCCCTGTATTCTCTCTTGATTTAAAACGTTATCAATGAGCAAGTGTTTCAGAAGTTGCTTAGAAAGGGCCACTGAGCTTGCAGCCTTGAGGGTGGCTCGTGCCGGGCGCCCCGTCAGTAGTGCCGGAGCGCTGCCTTGTGTGTCGGGCCTGTTGCATTTCTTACATGTGCTGAAACTTTATGCAGCCCTAACTACAGTAAGTGGAATACTGGAAAGGAATTGGAATCTTTGACATGTATGCTGCTAGCCTTGTTCTTTCTAGTGGTCTGGGGAAAATTTTTTTCACAGGAACAGGACTCTTACTCCTGCCTGAAGCGTGTAAGCACTATTTTGAATTCTTTGCTACTTTCTCCCAGGGCTACGAGGCGGTCTCTCAGAAGTTCACCTCTATCCGGCGAGTCCGCGGTGATAATTACTGCGCGCTGAGGGCCACGCTGTTCCAGGCGATGAGCCAGCCGGCCGAGCTGCCCCGCTGGCTGCAAGACCCCGACCTCACGCTGGTACGCTCCCGCCGCACAGGTTTGCACCCACTGGCAGGGTCAGATGGCTTTGTGAGAAGATCCCCTTTCCTGTTCACGCTGCCTGCCAGTGTAGTCTGCAGTGTGTCAGCAGATGGCTTTATTCAGGTAGTGTGTCTGGGACGGCTTCCCATTGCGAAGTGGCCAGAAGTAATTGGTATTTCCTGAAGAGAGAAATGATAAGATGTAAGCAGTTCTGTCGAATTAGAAACCAGATGTTTAGAGTTTCTGAAAAGCACTTGGGAACAGTTTGACTTCACTTCTGATGTTTTCATTAAGTGTGGCGCATTTCACTATTAAGAACCTGCCAGAGTTTTAGAATCCAGATTTTTTTTTTTTGTTCTAGCTGCAGTTCCAAAGTTAGTGCTCGCTGCATAATGAGGTGATTAGCATCATGTAGAGAGGTTTCACAGGCCTGATCTCGGCGAGCATGTCAAGTCTGCCATGGAGTAGAAATACGCTGGGAACCACATGTCCTCACACACACGACCTCACACGATAGGTTGGGTGATAGAACATCCTGAAATATTTTGATGTGTAGGAATGATTGGTCAGACTGACAGTGTGAGATAATTGGAAGAAAACCTAAAAAGTCATCTGCTAAGAAAAAAATCACCTTCAGCCCGAAGTTCTGGCTGTGGGAGATCTGTTGAAAGTGAGCTAGGAAAGGAAAAAAGGCGCCAGGATTCTGATTGCAAGCCCACGGTGTGTTCTCAAGTAGTGTGATGGCCAGCAGTGGGAATGGCCCTGGCTGTGTTCTACGAGAACATTCCAGAGAATCGGCGGTGACAGGCCCACTGTGAGCTGGGCAGGCAGAGCCTGGGCTGGGGACCGAGCCGAGCCCTGTGTGTATCCTCAGTAGCACATGAGCATGAGCAGGGAGGTTCGTCTCACTCCGGGGACGGCTGAAGGAGCTGGAACATTACCTAGGATGAGGAGGACTTTTGTGAGCTGCTAAGAACAGATACCACACCTGGCCTTAGCCGAGAGTCTGGGAAGCAGGAGAAAGAACTTTTGAAGGAAACTTATTCCTGGCTAGCCTTTTAGTGGGCAAGGGATCATATGGCTCCAGAGGGCAGCACGAGGTAGGACCAGTGACAGGAGGGGACTGACCTTTTCACTATGATTATTTTATGCTCTTGTATCGAAGCAGAGCAATGGGAAGGTATCTGGGCAGGATACTTAGTTCTAAGCAAAGATCTTAAAATCCTAAGCAGATTTTAGCTTATTTCCTTACTGTGGAGGCAAGAGAAGTTGATAGTTAAGGTGGTTTATCATTTGCAAATGATGACATTAATACTGATGGTAGAATGCTGCAGAGTTGTTCAGTCAGCAAAAGTGTGCCGCCGTGGATGAGTAGGACACTAGGTAAGGGAAAGGTGATTTCACTGTGCTGTGTGCTTCAGTTTCTGTGCTGGATGACCATAATTTAATTTATAGATTATGGAATAAAATTCTCTTCATTTTAAGACTATTTTCCTTTTCAACCTTTAAGAGACTATTTAGACGGATTTAATTGACATCCAATTTAAATTTTTGTGTTTTTTAGGAAATGGCTACAAAAAGTGCCCCTAAATAATTAAATGTATAAAGTACATCCTGAAAAAGTAAGGCATAATGTCCCTCTTCTTCTCTTACTGGGTACATTTAGATAACATCATCTGTCATAAAAGCAAGAGAGAGAGACTGTTCAGCCGCTGGTTAACATTAGAATCTGTTGGTGTGGGGACGTGGATTGGTGGTGTGAGCTCCTGCCTGGCAAGCACAGGGTCCCAAGTTCAATTCTTAGTCCTGCATGCTGTGCTGGCCCTGGAAACCCAGGCACATTGTACCAGCCCCAGAACTGGCTAGGGTGGGACATGCCTGTAATCCCAAAACTGGGGAGGCTGAGACAGGAGGATCACTATGAGTCCAAACTGTGTAGTGAGTATCAAAAAATAAGTAAATAAATTAGCATCTGTTGCTTGTGTGAATCACGGGGCCCTATTGTGGTTTTCCTGACGACTATGAGCAGTGTGAAGAGTTCTGAAACTCCCAAGTATTCTTTCCTGTTTCTTCTTTCTTAGACATGGGTTTTAGCCAATGTATTTTTCTCTTGAAACACTGGCCTGATTAGTTGCTCCCGGTGGCATAATTTTCTCATTTAAGTTTTTTTGAATGCCAGAAGGCCAGTGTAAAAGGGAAGAAACACATCACACCTGTCTGTGCGTTTAGTATTTATGTCTGCTGAAGAAACACCTTGTTGCGCTTTGCTTTGGCCACCCAGAAGATTCATCCCTGCTGGCCAGCCGCCAGTGGCCAGACACGGTTGGAGCACTTTCTTGACCTGGTCTGCTTTGCTGTCTCCTTCCAAGGCTCCCTAGTGTCAGCCACCACCCACTTCATCCTGGATGTGGCTGTGGGAAGGAAAGGGCACACACGCTTGGCCTGGCTGTGCTTCAGCTGGCTGGCCCCCCATTGGCCCCGCACCCTCTGCAGACGCTGATCAGTGCTCTCTCGGCCCCAAAACTGACTCTTCCTCTGGAAAGTCCGTCCTGACAAGGGCTTCCCAAGTGCACCACTTTGATTTGATATTTAAAGCCTGCGTTTGCATATAGATGTCATCCTTCCCTTCTTCTGAATGTCCTTTGGTTTCAGGGTGGTAATGGGAAGTGGCAACAGCTATTGCCTGTCCTTCTCTTGGACTCTGGGGGACCGGACCCTGGCGCTCTGCTGTCTCAGCTTCTCTGGCCGTGCTCTGTCACCTACCTGTGAGTTGAGCTCTGCCCTTCCTGCCCTCATAGTTTGCCTATTCCCTCATCTACTGGCTTTGCCTGGGCTTCCTGGTTTCCCTTTTCTGTCCAGAATCCATTATGGGTTTGCTGTAGTTAAATCCTGACTCCAGCCTTGGAAAACGCTTGGTTTGTCTGTTCTTGAACTGAGGACAGTACTGTGGTCCCTGAGAAGGGGGTGTGCGTTATTTTGTAGCAGGGACTTTTGCTTTTCAAGTTTGCTAAAAGCAGGTGGGACCTGAGCCGGTGTTTGCTAGAGCGTGGAGTCTGAGCTCTGTTCGTGAGTTTGGTCTGGGGATGGCGCCTTCTTGCTACGTGCTATGTGCAGTGGTACTAAGACAGTGTTAGAGAAAGTAGCCTGTTTTATAGTCCAGGCAGAAGTGAAATGGCACCGAAGCTACCTGCTGGATTGCTAAATGTTTCCAGTCATTGCTTTCTTGCATAGGTTGCATTGTTTTGTGGTTTACATCTCCCTTAATTCTAACAGAGGTCTTGTCTCAGCTTAGAGGCAAGGAATGCCTGTGTTTGTATTCTGTGTTATGACCCTGAGGGGATACAAAATTTCTCCTCTCCTAGAACCAAACATCCCTGAACTGGATAATCACTATAGCAGCAGATTGACTAATGAGTGAGATGAAGGACAGAATTCACTTTGTGTCTTGGTGCAGACAGATCTTTGAGGTCTCCAGAGTTGCTCATTTGATCGTTGTGAGTGTCACAGGATGCCCAGCTGGCCTTCTCGGCTGCCCTTTACCGCCCGTCTGGGGAGCCAGTATTTTCTGCTTGCTTGCAGTTCTCCTTGTTAATTGTCATTCCAGCTTGTTACCACTTGGGGGCATGTTAGGTTCTGGTGATGGGTCTGAGAGAGCACATTGAGGGCTTTGCAGACGTGCCCACATGTTGTTGAGGTACAGGACCGGGTGGCACTGAGCTGGGCGTTCATGGCTCCTAGGCAGGTAAGCTTGTCATAAGATGACTGGGATATCCCTGAGGTCACCATCACTGTGGTTACTCAGGGTGAAGAATAGTTTATATCCCTGGTGTGGTTCTGTTTTTTGTAGAGATGAAACCAGCTTAATTTGATGGCTGTAAATTGAGAGGGCACAACCAGGATTGCAGTTTGAGCCTTGGGTTCCAGTAAAACTGAGCATAAGTCCTCACTGAAAGCTGCCTTCATGCTGTTCAGCAGCCAGTTTCTCCTGAGATGTGTAGGATTCACTCGTCTCTAATGATCTTTTTGATGCAGAGGTGAGCACGGTTCCTTTCTGAAGTTGTTAGCCGTGAAGTGACGTGCCTCTACCAGCCCAATGACGAGACTGCCCTCCCGACACACCCAGGGCTGTGGGGAGAGCCTCATTTCCCACGCCATCGTTAGGCAGGTTGCGACTCGGCTTGCCTCTTAAATCCCAGATCCTATTGATAATTGGGGGAAGCAGAATGATTACTTGAGGAGCAACAACAAAAGAAAGGAAATTAGCCCCCTAGCAGTTCAGCTGTCATGTTTTCTGGGTGAAACAGTCAAAGCCCCTTAACTCCTGCCACTTATCCTCAGCTGTCTTTCAGTCTTGCTGTGTTGATGAGGCATTTGAACTCGGAAATAGCTTCTGTAAAAGTTAAAATTTTTTAGTAGAGAGCATGATTGAAAAATATGGTGAATGTACATTTCCATTAAGCACCCCATCAGGTCATTCTCCTGACTTTAAACACACCTGTGGTGTCACTCTTGCCACTTTGTGAAGCAGTTCTAGCTGTCTTCTTTCATGAGTGTCTCTAGTGTCCTTTTTCTCTTGTGGCTGTCTCAGTGTCCCGAATCAATTTAAAATGCCCACCACTCATGGTCATTGTTGTCCTTGGGGAAGAGCCAGAGTCCTGCTGTACCAGCTACCGTGAATCAAGTGTCATGAGGACACCTTCTTTATAAGCCCTTCATTGGGTAGAAGTTGGGAACCATGTTCATGATGTTTTGGATCACCCCTTCTGTAGATGCGACAGGAGAACTTCCCAGAACTGCTTCAGGAAGTGGCAAGAATGATGGGATAAGTGTGTTCAAAGCAAGGAGGGGTATGTGAAAGGAATCCGTGGCAATGTGTCTACAGTAATAAATTTTTAAGCATTTAAACATTTAGCATGTATTATGATCACCCCTTTTATATGTGATAATATTATCTAACCAAATGATCAGGGTTTTTTTCCGCCTTTAATGTGTATATCTCCAGGAATTAGGTTTTATTTATTTATTTTCCTAATCAAGAAAAGAGCAGGTTTTGACGTTATGGTGAGTGGGGAGCCACCTGCCATACGTTAGGAGTGTAGGGAGGCTGCCAGGGAGCCCAGAAGCCCACTGTTCACTAGATCCTGCCCTGCTTAGCCTCACAATTGCTAGGCATTGTTCCTGCATGTGGCTGCTGTCCTGCAGGCTCCACCTCACTCTAGCAGCCCTGCATGTGGTTCCTGACTTCCAGATCTAGGTCCTTTACCCCAAACTGCAGGACAGACAGACTTAACAGGATTGAGGGTTGGTGGCAAAGGTAGTTTTTGTGGGGTTCATGGTTTCTCCCAGCTTGGATCACCACTGGTGGATTCCTTGGAAGGTTAACACTTCTCTGTCTTTCTGTTCTTGATATTCTAGTTGCCAGAAAAACTGATAAGCAGATACAACTGGATCAGACAGTGGAAGCTCGGGCTGAAATTCGACGGGAAGAATGAGGACCTGGTTGAGAAAATTAAGGAGTCCCTTGCCCTGCTGAGAAAGAAGGTTTGGAACATGCAGCTTCCTCTGATGAGTGCAGCGCTCCTGCTGCAGATTGCCTGGCAGGCAGCCCACTTCTTAGTGTTCACTCATTGCATTAGCAAGCGCTCCTGGTTGGTTGATTGGTTGGTTTGTTTATTTAAACTAACTTACAAAGAAAAGGTTTATTTTGGCTTCTGGTTCTGGAGACTAAAAGTGTCTGTATTTTGGGCAAAACAAACAGAAACTCTTCTCCTGAGGTCTTTGTAAGATGGAGAAACACCAACAGTATACATTTTTGGAGGAGATGCTGTGTATTAGTGAGTCAGATCATGAAATGTGTAACTTTCTTAAAAGGAAATCTAATGAACAAATTTAGTGTTTGTTCCAAGTTGTAGTTGTAGGTTTCAGAGGTAATAATTTAGTCCATAGTTCTTTTATTATCAGTGATATGAATTTGCATTTGTTCTTCCAATTATTCTGGAAAGATTCTTTTCATATTTACTGAAGACTTGTTTTCTTTCCTGATGGTCTTCCAGTGAGATTTCATAACCTCTGAAAACAGTTCTGAAGGTTTGGATAAAATAGGATTCAGGGAGAACTTGGTGTACTTGTTCCTCTTGATTGGGGTATTTAAAATTCTGTGGTTTTTGCTGTCTCTTCTGGGTCAGACATCCTGCTTGGGCACGGCCCACATGTCCTCTAGGTTGCTTGCTTTGAGCAGCTTGGAAGCCTTCCCCACCAGAAGACCCAAAGTAAGGGGCTGTCAGTTGCTGTGGGCTTTGTCGGTATAGGAAGGGATCAGGTAAGGAGAGGTCGGATCCAGGCTTTTGAGGGCCGTCGTGACATAAACCCCTAGCGATTTGTTCCTGTCCTTTACTCGCTGCCTTGAGACGGCCAGCTCCGTGGGAGAATCTCCTCTTTGTTTCTTTGCCTGGTGCCTAGCACTGAGCCTGACACATGACAGGCATATGGTAAATGCTTTGTTGAGTGAGCGAGCCGAGGTCCTAAATTTCTGGAATCTTAATTTTTACGTACAAAGATAAATGTTTGCTGGAAAGTGCATTGTTAGATGAAGCCCAGTAGCTTCAGAGTATCTTTCACTGTAAAGCAACGAGGGAGAGAAGGGAAGAGGGTTTCTTTTCCTGTTATCTATTGGAGAGGAACACACCATCTGGGGGAGCAAAAGGGCAAGGCTTTGTGTGTGTGAGCAGGGAGGGCTCTTCAGCTGAGCTGCACGTCGTGGTTCCCTTTTCATCTTTTTATTGTATTTTGTATTTTAGGGAAGGGTCTACAGGGTGTTCGGGGTCTCACTACTAGATCGGACTCCTAGTGATCCGTCTGTTTACAGCCTCCCGAGAGCTGGGATTACGGGCGTGTACTGCCACGCCCAGTCCTAATTCTGTCTCGGCGTGCCCTGGGGGCGGGGCTGGCACGGTCCTAGGGACTGAATCCCCGACCCTGCACCTCCTGGCAGGTGCTTTAATCCGCCCAACTGTTTGGCCAGCCCTTCCTTTTCATCTTTTTAAAGATCTTGTGGAGTAGGCACTTTTGTCTTACCGGGTATGTCCCGTCATTGGACGCGCCCCTCGGGCGTGGCCAAGTACTGCCAGTTCATCACAGCTCATGCTTCTCATTAGCAGCCTGAGCCAGCAGTTCTGACGCGTGTGCACTCTGCGCTGAAGGCCGCGTGCGCTCCTTCTTCTCCCCACTATGAAGGTGATACTGCTGTGATCATCCCTGTTGTCTCTGTCTCACAGATGTGGAAACTGAGACCTGGAGTGGACTGAGGGTCCGGCAGAAGCCACTAGCTGCTTGGTGACAGGGCCTTGATTCTGTCCTGACTAGAGCTTGCCCCTGATTGCCAGCTTGGTCTACTCAGGAAACTATGAAACGTGGACAAGATGGTCCAGGTTTCACCCAAATGTTGTCGGGAGTTCTGTGCAGTCATTAGCATTACCATTCTGAACTGTGGATGTCAGCTCTGTGCTGACATTTGAAAGGGACACTCGGCCCTGAGGATTCACAGGGACTGGTGTTTGTTATGTGTACTTCTCTTATTCACTGTAACGCAGAAGCATGTTATCTAAAGGCTTGTCTGCTTTCTGAAAGAGTTGGCCTGTGTAGTAGAATACTTGATACCTGTTTTGTTCTCCTTCAGTAGTTGGTGAGATTTTTTGAGTTGGATCTATAAATTTGGAGATTATATTTTTAAGAGGTTAGAAGATAAGTTTAGTAAACTGATACTCAGGAGACCCCATGAATTTCTCTCCTTCCCTGCATTCCATTTTGAAAAGGTGGCTTTGTGTTTTGGGGTGGTTACTTCCTGAAAGCCCCTCGCGGTGGAGAAAGGGCAGGCCCCTTCTCAGCACCACACACAGGCCTCCTGGAGCCTTACAGGGCAGGCGGGCTGCTTTCCCATGAGGATCTCTGATTGGCCCATTCATTGAAAATGTCTGCCCGGGGGTCCCAAGGCCCTGCTGCTTTTCCTTACTGCATGGTATGTCTGTTTTAAATTAATATGAGAAAAGGGTTTGTGTGGTCGTAGGGGTGCCTTGTTTGATCTGGAACTTGAGTGTTTGTGAACACTGGAATGACTCAGGATCTTTGCTTTTGCAAATAATTTTGCATTCATAGTGCAGAAGTGTACATACCAGGGATTTTTAGAACAAAAAATTCTAACTGTCACATAACTTCCTTATTATAGTGGGCAGGCCTGGCTGAAATGAGGACTGCTGAAGAGAGGCAGATGGCTTGTGACGAGCTGTTCAGAAACGAGGAGGAGGAGTATAGTCTCTACGAAGCTGTAAAATTTCTAATGCTGAGCAGAGCCATTGAACTGTATGATGACAAAGAGAAGGGAAAGGATGTGCCACTTTTCTCTGTGCTCCTATTTGCTCGGGACACATCAAATGACCCTGGACAGCTGCTGAGGAACCACCTAAACCAGGTGGGGCACACCGGTGGCCTTGAACAGGTAAGCTGTGCTCTGAGGAGTGTGTTGTTCACAGCGTAGCAGCCATAGTCCTTGAGCGTGATCTCATAGTGTTTATAGGTGAGGCCTTCTGGAGCAGCTTCGTTGAGGGCTTCTGTGCAGGGTGTCATGAGGTACCTGTGTGTGTGCAGGGCTACAGTCATCTGAGATCTTGCTTGGGGCTGCAGGATCCACTTCTGTGACCACGTGGCCCCTGGGAGGAAGCCTCAGTTCCTCATTAATGGGAGGGTGTGTTCCTCACCACCTGTACCCTTCCAGAGGGCTACCTGGATGTCCTGGCGGCTGGCTTTTCTCCAAGTGGTCTGAACAGAGAGCAGGGAAGATGCCACACTGTCAGGGAGAAAGGGGTGGAACTCTGTCCTCTCCAGTGAGGAGTGCCAAAGAATGCCAGAAATGTTTTATTACTGCCACTTTGATATCATCTCAGGCTTCTTCTGAAGGACAGTAGGTCGGATGAGCACCCTCCCTCCAGAGGGCTGCGAGTAAGTGGAGCCCTTGGAAGGCCATTTGCAGGGTCTCGGTTAGTGCTGGTAGCTGCTGCTGCTGCATTAAATGGAGTTCCCATAGTCAGCGGAGCATAGCCTCTCTTGGTCTGCACACGTGGGCTACGTAGATGCCAAATCCAGTCCTGCGCTGTAGGCCAGCAGTTGAATCACTGAACCCTGTAACACTGTTTGGACTGTCCACTTCCCTAACGGTCTTAGTTCACTCCTCAGATCACTAGGGCTGGCCATCAAAGTGCTGCCTCTCTGCTTACACTGTGGGCTCTTTTCCTAAAAGACCAAGTTCTGGGTAGACACAGTGAGGAAAGAGAGCAGAAGCAGGTCCTCTCTCAGTTGTCCTGGCGGGCCGACTCCCACCACATTTTATCCTTAGGGTGCAGCAGAGACTAGAGGCTGATGGCCCTGGCTAGACTGGGCAGCACAAAGAAGATTAGTTTAAAAAGTTACCTGTGTTTCTAATGTGGATTACTGATGCCCCCTGAGCCGGAGTGAATACTGAGGGGTGAAGGACCTGCAAGAGCACGGTGTACATGTCAGACTAATGTTTGTCCTTTGAGAGACCCTCTAGGGAGGAGTCCATTTTTTTTAAGCAAAATTTGTAAAGAAGTAATTTACATACATACAATCAAGTTTACTCTTTGAAAGTTTTGCCACCACCGCTGCAGTCTACTTTTAGGTCATTTACCACCTCCTAAAGAAACCCCCGAACATTAGCAGTCACTTCCTTCCCTAGCCCTAGCCAGCCACGAATCTGTTTTCTGTAGAGATTTGCCTTTTCTGGACATTTCATGCAAATGGAATTGTATACTGTATAGTCTTTTGTGATTGGCTTTTTTCTTTGAGCATAATTCATCTGTATTGACAAGTAAACTAGACCTCACAGTGTGGCTGCTTCATGTTTTATTAATTTATCCGTTTGATGGCTGTGTGGGCTATGTCTACTTTTTCGTTATGAATCTTACGGAGAGTTTTGTGTGGACGCGCTTCTCTTGGGTGTGTGCCAGAGTTCAGTTTCTGGGCACATGGTGATTCCTTCTTAGCCTTGTGAGGAGCTGCCACGATGCTTAAAGCAGCTGCACTAGAGCAGGCGTGGTGGTGTACACCTCTATTCCAGCCACGCTGGAGCCTGAGGTGGAAGGATTGCAAGTTTGAGGCCAGCCAGTGCTAGAGTGTGACCCTGTGTCAAAAATAGAAAGAGCAGTGCCGTTCCTCATTGTCAGCAGCATTGTATCTGAGCTTATCGCCATTCTAGTGGGTGTGAAGTGGTATCTTACTATGGTTTTGATTTGCATCTTTCTAATTATGTTGCTGAGCATGTTCCCAAGTACTTATTGCTATTTGCATATCTTCTTTGGGGAAATATCTTTCAAATCCTTTCCTAATTTTAAAACTGTTTATTCTTTAGTTTATTTATTTATTTATTTGAGATAGGGTCTCACTACATAGTTCCAGCTGGCCTTAAGCTCACTGTGTAGCCCAGGCTGGCCTAGAACTCCCAGCATTCCTCCTGAGCACTTGCATGACAGGCGTGGGCCTCCAAGCCTGGCCAGTTGTTGTAGTTGTTGAGTTGTTACAGTCCTTATAATTCTGGTTGTAGGTCCTTTCTCAAAGATCTGCTGCATTCTTGATTATCTGCCTTTTAGTATTGAAAGAGTTGGCTGTGGGCCCTGGGCGGGAAGGTCGCAGCACATCCGCCGCTGCACTGTCTGGGATCCTGGCTAGAGCCCCGAGAGGCCCATCTTTCCGCATGGCCTCCCTCAGCATGTGTGTTTACTCTCCTCGCAGGTGGAGATGTTCCTCCTCGCCTATGCCGTGTGCCACACTATCCGGGTGTACCGGCTGTCCAAGTATAGCACTGAGGAGTTTATCACAGTCTACCCCACTGACCCACCCAAGGACTGGCCGGTGGTGACCCTCATCGCTGAGGACGATCGGCACTACAACATCCCTGTGAGGGTGTGTGAGGAGACGAGTCTGTGACGGACCTGGACGGGCTAGCCATGTGGCAAAGCTGCCCTCCAGCTCCTGGCTGGGCTGAAGGCCCACAGGTCTGTAGGAACCGCCCGTGAGAACCCTTGGGCCCTGGGGGCTGTGCTGGATTGGGGCCTGTGCTCTGAAGAGGAGCTTCGGACAACAAGCAGTAACTAGTCTTTGCTCTCATCTGTGATGCGGCATGTTTCAGTGGGCGCTCCAGGAATACTCATCAGAAGGTGCAAACTACATCCCCACCCCCAAAGGCTATTCGTTTTGTATCAGAGGAACCTCATTTTGAAGAGAGGAGTATGTTGTCTCAAATCAAAATGCTCTCTAATGGTAAACTGGCTTTTTTTTTTTTTTTAAAGACTTTCTTTGGTGGCAGCCGTGGCTCTCTGTAGTGATATTTGATCTTCCGAAGTAGTGTAGTTCTGGGGCATAGTTATAATATCCTGTAGTAGTCGTCTTCAGAAAGGATGGACAGTAGCTTGGATTTACACATTTAACGTCTGTATTAAGCAGATTGCCTCATAGAAGATTAATTAGGTCCGAAAGTGGGGTTATTTGAAGTTTTATTTTCCTTATACTGGGGAGTGAGCCTAGAACCTTCATGCTGTGCTACATTCCCAACCCTTGATTATCATTGTTATTATTTTTAATGGAGTCTTATTAAGTTGCCCAGCTTGGGCTGGAATCTGCAAGCCTCCTGCCTCAGCCTCCCAGCGGGTTGGGATTGTAAGTGTGGGCCACGATACCCGGCCACTGAGGGTTATTTTGAAGGCTGGCAGAGTTGCTGGCAGTGGTGCAGGAACGTAGACCTTCTTGCTCTGCTGACCATGACAGGTTGGCCCACAGTCAGGACAGGAGCACTGTTTGCAGTTGGACTCCAGTGTGGGGGCATCCGTTATTCTAAAGTTCCAGAGGCAGGATTTTAGGTTCACAGCAGAGGTTATGTCCACTCATGTTTTTAGAGGAAACAAGGTCCAGTGGGGTCAGCTACTGGCCTCGTCAGAAGTGGGGCCTGCTGGCCTCTGTCTTCCTGCGCCCTTGGCATATGTATTGAAGATGTCATCCATTGCTAGACCCACACAGCCCGTCCGATGGTGGGGGACAAGTAACAGCGAAGCACCTGTGATTCTCCCCAGGTCCCTGAAACAGAATCGTGAGGAAGCGCGAGTACCAGAGTGTGGCCAGGCTGCGTGTCCTGGGTGAGCCTGCACGGCCGTGAGCCGTGGGCTGCCTGGCTGTGGGGTGGGGAGCTGAAGGCAGCCCTGTGGGCCTGGTCTGCTCAGGGCCCATGCTGTCTTCCAGGCATGCGAACCGTGGGCATTAGCCACAGGAACCACATCCTTCACATTTGGGCTCCCGTTAGCTGCTCCTCAGTCGGCTCAGCACTTACTGCGTTGGTGTTTCCCTAAAGTACCAAGCTTATTTCGTAATGAAATCTTTATTTGATCTTATTTAATATAGTTCTAAGCTATCCCATTTTTGAGGGGACAGACAAACCTTTAGAAGTGAAGGTTTTGCTTATAATTAAAAATTAAATCTTTGTTAAGAAAACTCAGGATGCACAAACTGTTCTGTTACTTTAGCCTTTTGCCTGTCATTACCTCATTAGTACTAGTTCTCACATTTTGTTAGGTGTTTATTGATGAGGCTGTATGTTTTTCACTGTGAAATGCAGGGGTGCTTTGAATAAGAAGGTACCTAGTGGGCTGGCCAGATAGCTCAGTGGATTAAAGAGCCTGTTTAGGCAGACGCAGGGATGGGGGTTCAATCCCTGGCGTGCGTGCTGGCCCCACCCCCAGGGCTTGCTGAGACAGCGACTGAGACCGGGCGTGGGGTGCGTGCCTGTAATCCCAACACTTGGGGGGCTAAAAACAGGATCACTACAAGTCCGATCTGTGTAGTGAGACCCTGCAGACCCTGTCCTAAATGCATAAAAAAATACCTAGCAGCCACATTACAGTAATAATAATGACTTCCTGTTGGCCTTGACACAGGAATGCTTACCTTCTGTTCATTTTTGAACTTTGTTTTGGTGCTGGGGTAGACCCAAAGCCTCCCGTGTGCAAGACGAGCATTTTCCTCAGCCCTTTTTGTTGTGAGACAGTATTATGTCCAGGCCCGCCTCGAACTTGTGGTGTCTCACCTTACTGGCTCAGGTGACTGGGATTACCACCTGTGCCTCCCGCCTGCGACTTTGAATGTTTGTTAAAGCACAGCTTGAAGTGTTTAGAGTATATCTGGCTGTAAGTATCTGTGCCCTTGAGGAGCGTTGAATCTGACCACTGTTTCATATTCGCTATTGATACTCTTTCGTATTCACTATTAATAAAATGGAAGTAATACTCTATCTGAGTAGTATTATTTTCAGGATATCTTACGTGAACTCGAGCTAGATTTCTGGCCATCTTTCTTGGTTATACATGATATATTTTCTGTTCCCATGTGTGATATCATTAAGAGTATGCACAGAAATTGTGGTTGTGGACAGGCACCACAGTGGTAATTCAGAAGGGTGTGTTTATTTCACACTGTTTGTCCTCAGGCCTGGCCAGCTGTTGTCAGACTGTCACGCAGCTTTCAGAACAGCTAAGCGTTTAAAGAAGAAGTGCTTAAGGAGCTAGAAAAAGTCAGTCCACACAGCAGATGTTGGTGTGTCGCAATACGCATCTTCAGTTGCCCAGAGACTTAAGTCCTGAGCCGGCAAAGTGACATCAGCCGAGTGGCGGTTGAACTGGGGTGAAGTGGACTCAGAAGGATGGTGCGTGTGGAGCAGTGTCCTGCATGGTAAGATGATCCAAGAGGGTGAGGTGGTGGGACCGCACGCGGCCTCCTTTCCTTTCTAGAGTTCACTGTGCGAGCGCAGAAGTTTTGAGCCCTGTCTTACTGGCAGAAAACTTACCTCCACATAGGCCTGACTTCTGCTGCGCAAGGTGCGTGAAGCCTGAAGTAAGTTGCCTGTAGCTGTTGCACGAATTAGCATTGTGTTTTCAGAGCACATTACATTCTCCTCACCTGAGCCCCTGCGGCAGAATGCAGACCCCTTGGATTTCATTCCTGCCCTTGGGGGCATGCTGACACCCTCAGGGAACGAGCAGGCTGTGGCCGCTGACTTACCTCCTGTTACCTTTGTGTCTCTTGGCAAGTTTCTGCCTTTTGAGGTAAAATCTCAGGCCATGTCCGTTCATAGTAGCTCTGTTGGAAGACATTTATGATTGTATGTGGCTGGTCCTGCTGTTGCCTTTAATTGGTAGGAAGCCCTGTTACTGTTTCCATCCTTTTATCCCAAGGTGTTATTTTATCTAAGAGCTCCTGCTCTACTTTCAGCGGGCAATAAGGTGCGGCCTGCAGCGTTTGAGGACTCTTAACTGTCCACCTGGAGGACCTTGGTAGGCTTTTTGCCATGTTGTCTTTTGATGTTAAAATATGCTCGGATTGGGCTGCAGAGATGGCTCTGCAGTCTAAGGGCCTGCCTGGCAAGCTCAAGGCCCCAGGTACAAGGCCTGGCACTGCACGTCTTGCTGGCCACCCCACCCCGGTGTGCTGAGCCGCCACCAAGACTGGGCATAATCCTGGAGCTGGAGAGGCTGAAACAGGAGCATCACTGTAAGTCCAAGCTGCATAGTGAGGAGACACATAGATACATTTGCTTGGATCATTTTCCCACCTCTGCTGCTCTAGCAGTACTTTGCAAGTACTCCCCTCAAAAGTCCAGTAAGTATTTTTTAGAAACAGACTTTTGGGAAATCTTGATTGTAGGTATGCATAAAAATAAATACCTTTATTTAAGATCTGTGACTACTAAAAATAACAGAAAGCCATTGGTGTGTAAGGTCAGTCTGGTATATGTCTAAACATGGGATCCCTAAAGAATTTGGTAAAGGCAGGGCATACTTGAAGAAGGGCATAAGGGATTGTGAGCAGAAATGGTAAACTGAAGGGGGAACTGATTTTTAGGATAATTTTTGAAGTGATGTAAACTAAACGATGACTTTCTGACAAGCCTGTCATAAGCTATAAAAAATAAGAACCAATAGGAAGATTTGTCTTCATGTATTCCATGACTGTCTGCTTCTGGAACTTGAGCCTCCTGTCTAAGAGAGAACCAGCATCTAGAGTATACCTCTTGGGAAGCTGTGTGATCTCTTGTATGGGGTGGAGGGACCCAGGCTGCGGGGCTGAGCTGCCAAGAGGGTTAGTGGCTGCCTGAGTGAGAACACGGGTAACCGGCCTCTCGTGCTGTCCTTCAGGTCGTAACTCTGGCATGAAAGGCACCACCTGAGTTTGTTTGGCCGCCCCACCCCTGGCCTCGCCTGGGGGTCCCCTTGGCCAGTTGCCAGGGACATGTACTGCGGCACTGCTGGGACCCAGAAGTGGTCCAGGGTGAGAGTCCCAAGTGATTGTAGTGTTTTTCCTTATAGTCAAAGCATATTGCTGGGCATGGGGCTATGAATTAGTCTGATGAGTTGAAGTGGGGTGAGCATTAAGTCCGGGAACATTGTGTTGAAATGTCATCTGTGTGCTTTTATTCTGTGTCTCTGTTCCCAGGCTGAATAGCCACTTGCATATTTAAGCATTGTGAAGGCTCAATATTCTGTAGCGTTCCTGCAGGACTCTGGTTGGAGTTGATCTCACTGTCATTCATTTCTTTGGTATAGGCTTCGATCAAGAATGAAATTACCAAGACGTAGGTCAGTATGGGCGAAGGATGCTCGCCTCAGAACACCACAGTTTTGGTTGGGCCTGGTAGAGCACTCTGGGAGGCTGAGGCAGGAGGATCATAAGTTCAGCATCAGCCTGGGCAGCTTAGCAACTTAAGGGAGACTTGTCAGTTCAGTGCAAAGGCTCTGGGTTCAATCCAAAGAACCTGAAAATGGAAACAAAAACCAAAACCCAGAATCAGTCTTGGTAGTTGTTTTACCAGTAACAAGGGATGTTTGAGCTTCATTTTGAACTTCAAAATAACTTTTTGTACTTAAATGTAAAAGCTTTCACTTATAAATTGGAAAATGCCTTGGTCCTTATTTATACAAGTGGTGCTAAACGTATGGTGCCCCTTACAAGAACCACGTAACTTCTGAGTATCTAATATCGGAACAAAGCCAAATGTATTGAATGAACTTCCTTTTCATTTGCGTTGTTTTATAAAACTGGTATTGCTCCCTGCACAGGGGTGGCTTCTCACTTGTCTGGAGTCTTTTTTTTTTTTTTTTGTCTTGAGTCTTCAGGGCACACTATCCCAGCTTCAGCACTTGGGCTGGGGTGATGGTGCTCTTCTCTGGGGACGGGGCCTCCGTGAGGGGAGAGTGCACTGCGTGAGCCTGGCTGCGTCCCTCCTGGCTTGCTCCGCGTACCCTGGGGGACAAGACACCAGCCTTTGTCAGAATTTATGCCTGCTTGGACCATGGCCCTGAGGCCCTGTGCAGTCTGTGGGCTCTTCCACCGCAGCCTCGCCCATCACTGCTTAGTCCCTGCGCTGCACCAGCAGGCTGAACCTGCTGCATTTGCTCTTGAACCCCCTTCAGCGAGCCTGGCTACTAGTGACTATAAAAACAAATAACTAAAAATAAACTGAGAAAAGAAAACTAAGAAGCTGGCTGTGCTTTAGTGCCTGCTTCTGAGGCCTTTAGCAGATGGTGATTCAGTATGGTAGCTTCCTGGCCCCTCAGCAGGTGTGTCGTGTCGGCTGGTCCCCTCGTGCCTTCCCCGTCCTGCCACGTGTCCTGCTTGGGTGGTGGTGTGGGTGAAGTGAGGAGCCAGCCTCACACAGGCTCCAAGGAGGCCTCCCGAGGCTGCCGAACAGTCTGGGCTGCAGAGCTGACCAGCTTCCCTGTGCCCTGGCTGAGGAGAGGCCTGCGTTTGTGAGCCCCGCTGAACCATTCCAGCATTGCCAGTACCTGAGAATATGAGGTTGCATATGATCTTGGCTTGCTGAAAGAAGTTGATAATCTAAAGACTGGGCAGGGCCAGCAAAGGGGTCTTGCGAATGGAGTGCAGGAGCCAGCAGGAATCTGACTTCTGACTAGTCAGAGAACAACTCAGTCTGGGAATCCATAGCAAAATGGCGCCTGGCTCGCAAAACACCCACTGGCCAGGGCAGGCAGCCCCACGGAACAGTGTTAGGTTGGTACGGGCAGCGAAAAAACCTCTTTGTGACACAAGCGACAGCCAGGTGTGCTGGGATGTGCCCGCGCTCTGGGAGGCTGAGGCAGGAGGAGGACTGCAGGCTTGAGTCCAGCCTGGCGAGTTATGAAAACCCCACTGTTGCGTCTGTGGGGCTAACCTCATTTCCCTAGGTGGCTGTGTACTGGAAACGTCCCGCTGAGTTGTCCCACAGAGCAGCCCTGCTGCCTTGCGGTCCCGCTGGAGAGGATGTGGCCTTCCTGAGCCCTGGCCAACACCGTGCTTTTCAAGCTTCCTGATTTTTGCTGAGCTCATAGTTGGAAGTTGAGTTTGTGTTTCTGGAGTGAAGCTGGGGACGTTTTCACGTCTGAGCCATTTGCAGGTCATTGTGTTCATGTCCTTTACCTGTCAGCCATATTTTCTAACTGCCTTTGGTTTTTGTATCGCATTTCACAGAAGAGTGGTTTTGTAGGGCAAGAACATGGAGAAGGGTAGGCGACTGGAGCACTAGCGAGCCCTGGTGACCCTGTGGTTGCAGGCACAGCAGTTGACGCTCACTTAGGTTACTTTAGTTCATGTGTTTAATACAGTGTAATGTAAAGTCTGAAAGTATTCCCTTGGTTAGTGCTGTTTGGGTCTTTGAGTTCA